AAAGGATGGGAGGTAAAAGCATTTATGGTAAAAGAATCTAAATTCTGGCCTGATTTTAGTTCAGCGGAAGTTACACCAGTTGAAGTACGGTCCTTTCAATGGATCTACAAACACAACCACATTTCCAGTGTTTTTTTTCAACCAATCTTCAAGGATTTAGTGATGGTACAGACACATCATGCCAGTCTACCGATATGAACAATCCCTGTCGTCATTACAGCCTATGTCCTTGAGGACGTTTTTCCTGCGATTTCGTTGCGGGGTACACTTTTAGAAGCTGAGCAACCACAGCACCAAGCGCGACAATTTATTTCACAATTGTCAAGGAGATTGTGTCCTTCATGTCAATTGGCTCCAGAAGACGAGATCCATTTTCTCTTCCACTGCCACGCCTATGATGGCCCCCGTCGAAGCCACTCTTGTATTTTTGATGCCGCGATGTAAAACCACTTCTTTCTTCGTTTCTTGCTCGCCAACTGGCACCGACACTTCTTTAATGTACTATCATCGATAATCGCTTCTAGGCATTAGTAGTTAGTAGATTGTAGATAGGTTTTGTTTGTGTTTAACATTAGATTTAAACGAACTGATCACAGATTCTGCTTCGCACGGACAACATATGAAGCTGGCGACCACCTCAATGCCTTGATGAAGACGATAATGAGGGATTAAGTAACTGGACGATTATTGCAATTATTGTTCATACTGAACTACAATGCTGAGCACACAATTAATAGCCGGTAAAGTAACATTTGGTGACAGTGCAACGGCACTGGTTGTGATGACATTAATTGGTGCCAAATGGCATCGCAGTTTGCATCGCAATCGATATCCACTGGTGCAATGCGCGAGCACGCGAAATGCCGGGCGCCAATTTTCAATGTGTCTTGCCAATAACAAGACGGAGTAACAACATTTGATCGCTTTGCTGCTTGTTTTTTTTCCAGTTCGCTCTGGCCAAGGAGATTGGCGTATTCCCTAATGCTTGGGTGAGCTCATCTTCTACAAACGGAAGATAACGTCTTCAAAACGATGAAGTTCCTTATTTTTTTCACCTCACAGCGACAATGAATTTTGAGTTGATTGACTCATAAGTTGAATTGATGCGCCGAAAAATTGCTGCCGGGCGATGAATCTTGCCGCTGCATCCAGAGTATCCATACATCCAGCGATTGCGAACAGACGCATGTATCGAAGCACGCATGAGGTGCGCCCGATCATGCACTGCAACCACCATACTGAAAGAACGTCGATTCTCTCTTTGTACTAGAGCAGTTACCTCTCTAGCTTTCGTTGCGCGTTATCGCAGCCGTTACAGCAACCGCGTCAACTGACACGTATTGCTGCCTCCTCGCCTTGCTATGCAACAGTTTTTGACGATGATCGCGACGCAGTGCCTGAATGAAGGTTTAGACATACATTAGACAAGATTTAGATCGTCAACGCATACAATGAGTCCCTTCGAAAAGCTCTGATTGGCGATGTGCAATTTGCAGATGACGAAGCCGGAGTAGAAGGATGCGCTGACAGGGATGGGTGAGCTTCAGGGGCAAGCTTCACAGATCTGAGGAACGTTACGTCATTATGCCATCCCCGAAGAACCCACCAAACCTCTAGAGCACTGGAATTTGATGCGGATTATTTTGCAGAATGGATTGATATTCTTAAATTGAATTGGCCCAGCCGTCGAAGCTGGATCCCTTGACGCCGATCCTTAATGCGTTCGACGAGGCTGGCGCCAAGTTGCGCCGAAGGTCTTCAGGCGAATCGCAGTGCTGCCCTCTCCACTTGGGTGACGCAGCTGAAATGGAATGTATCTTTGCTGAATAAATGGATAGACGCAAGCACCAGTGACAGAAAAGCTGACGATGCATAATGAGGCTTCGGTTTTCAAAGGCGTGTCTCCGCAGCTGCCGAGCGGGCAATCAAGAGCTCTTGAAATTCGATGCGCTCAATGAACGATCGCCGGCCGTGCGTGGTTGGAGCGGAATCGTGCGCTGAGTGAGTAGCCGCGCGTGCCTGCTCGACACGCGCCAGCATCCATGTTTCGTTGCCAGATTTGCGATACTGGATGCCAGTGCACGGCTAGCAATAGGAATTCATCATACCGTGCGGCAACAACAACAATAGTCGCAGTTGTTGGCAATAATCAGCAGCCACCATTCGAGCATTTGGTGAACACTGCCGTTTATTGGGTTGCAGGGCAATCGACTATGATCGAAAACTCTCTCTCGGCTATGTAACCGGGTTGGCGTGCACGCTTGGCCGTGCGCTTGCGCATTGCGCACGTCCCGTGCAGTTGCTCGAAATCGATCACATCATATTATGGACCACAAAAGAGTTGTAATATGTTGCTCACCATGAGGCAATGGACACCTGCGACGACACACGCGCAGGCTTGGTCTTTGCGTTCACGCTTTTATGTGTTAAAGCGCGTAGACAGAGAAAGGGACATTTTTACGGCCATATTTGTGGCTCGTTGGTACCACAAGGCTGCAAGATGGTGTCCCAATCAACGATCAGTTCTCCGCCCCTTCGAGCACTGCCAACACAACGTCCACCTCGCCCTAAGCAAGGCCAACGACGTCGGCGTAAAAAGTGCCATTTCTGTACATTTCAGCACGTCTATCTGCCCTCCCTCGGCTGCTGATCAGGCGTCGACTTATGAGTCGGTGTGTACTGTCTCCAAGTTCACGGGGCTCATTTTACGCATTTTTATGGCTATTTGCGCATAAAAAACTCAAACCCATTTTTGCGCCTGAACAGTCGTAAATAGAAACGTGTTTATGCCGCAAGGACCAAGCACACACACGTGCATGTCGTGTGCACGCGTCCCAAAGCAAGGAGAGCAATTATACATGAACAATCATGTATAATTGACGTTGTTAATAACGTCAAATTCCACATATTAGGATCCTCCGTGCCAACATCTGAAACTCTCAGCTGACGGCTACCTCGTTGCCTTGTTCTGTAGAAAAAATAATGATGATGATGTAACTCGCAGATAACATATGTACTAGGGATGGTACCCGGGCTGGCAAAACCGGACCCGGGTGCCCGGAGTTTCTGGAGCTCGAGTACCCGTGTGTACCCGGGTAACCCGGGTACACCCAATACCCGGGTACCCATAAGAATAACTAGGTATCAGGGTACAACCAGTACCCGGGTCCGGGTATCGAAAGATCGTACCCAGGTACCGAAAGATGCTCCCCTGCGCCGACGCAGCGCTGGCTGGCCGCGCTCCGCCGCGCTTGGCCGGCTGCTGTCTAACGGAGTCCGCAACGACGACGGCGCCCCTCGCCTGACGTTGTCTTCCACGAACCGTGCGTTCTTCTGGCACAATCCGGAAAGGGCTGGGCGCCCTTTGGTCAACGATCGCGTTGACGATCCGGAAAGAACAACAACCGCAATAGCGACAACGCAAGTATACGGCTGCCAGACGTCAACGACAACAACGCCCAAAAGCAATCGCCGATCCATCTCGTTCAAGTTGCTGGGCACGTCCTGCGCGCACCAACCGTTTCGCAGTGGAACGGACGACCTGCAATCCCCAAAGGGCAGCTCTGGCGCCGGGGCTGCAACACAGCCGGTATCCTAGGGACCAACCCGTCGGAGCCCAGCTGCATTTTCTGCAGACCGCTGCTTGCCGCAGGTGTGTGGAGATGTTTCATCCCGTCAGATTCCCCGAATCCGGCTCGCCAGCGCCACGGGACCGACCAAGCAGCACCCTGTCGATGTTCCAACCCGTCAGATTCCCCGATTCTGGCTCGCCGGCGCCCCGATACCTCCAAACGTGCCCAAAGAAGAGTATGTGGAGAGCATTGGCGCCGTGCACGATCGCGACGCAGCCACACACAGTGTGGACGGGGCGACCTTCGGAGGCCAGCGCGGTGCGAAGCTACGCACCAGGCGACCGCTGGTCAAACATACTGTACTCGGGTTCGTACCCGGATCCGGGTACTGGCAGTACCCGGGTAATCCGTGTACCCGCCGGTACCCGCTTGTACCCGGGTACGTACCCGTACCCGCCTGTACCCGTACCCGTACATGCCTGTACCCAGGTACGTACCCGTACCCGCCTACCCGGGCACAATGGTTGGCTGGTACCCGGGTAGGCGGGTACTGGAAAAAATAATACCCGCCCCGGGTACCCGGGTTTCCTGTACCCGGGTACATATTATGTACCGCGCTAGATTTCAATGAACTGATCATAGATATCAAGCTGACCGTTCGCGCTCGGTCTGCGCTCGGCCGCTCCCAGGCATAGGAAGCGAGGCCGCAACAGATATGTGTTGCAAGACAAACACATCAACCAAATTGTGCTCGCAGGAAAATGTCCCCATTCTGTAGTCACCGTTCCCATATTCACCATGTTTTTATTCACAGCGTTCACCGTGTCTAATCACACCATATTTAACACCATTCGCCTTATAATTACTCCTCATAATTTCCTGGCCCTCACAATAGACAGGGCTTTGCATGGGCAAACTAGAAAGCTGATGGCTACCTCATTGCCTTGCTCTGTAAAAAGTGATGAAAAAACTGTAAAAATAACAGTGATGGAAAAAAAGTGATGAAGACACTGGCAGGTTCAATCAAACTCTCCCCATCTCCCCACCCCTCCACCCACCCCAATTTAGTACCTAGTCGCACTGTAGCACCTAATCGCCTTTTCCGCCACGCGTTTCCAGTTTATTACATAACCTGAATTTAGTACCTGACCTCCGCTGCCGCCAGCCGCGCCCCAGTCATGGGGGCATAAAGCCACGGGCTCCCACCCACCACCACCTGTCAACCCAGCGACCCACAGCAACAGCCAGCAGAGACCGTCGCCCCCCTCCCGTCGTTTCCCACGCACACAGACGCGCCAAAGGATTTTCGGGCCGCCGCTGAGCAGCCAGTCGCAGGAAAGGGCGGAAAAGATAGGCGCGCCAAAGCGCAAGGCGGGGGCGCGATCGCCGGCCCTTGCCGGAGGATCGCCCCGGGGGGGCGCGGAGAAGATGGCCGACGGCGGTGAGCTGATGGGGCTGTGCACGTCGGCGGGGGGGACGGGCGACGGTGGTGGGCCGCCGATCAAGCGGCTGCGGGGCGGCGGCGGCGGCGAGGCGGGCCGGGGGTGCGAGGATGAGCCCGGGCTGCCCGGTCCAGGTGAGGAATTTTGAGGCTGGTGTCGTTGGAGTCGTATTTTTGAGCTCGTTATGTGACCGCTGGTCGAAGTTCCCCCTTATGGGGGGGGGGGGGAGGTAGCGGCGTGGAGAGGCCGTCGACGGAAGCCCAGGCTGTGAGGAGAGCCGGGGCTGCCTGGCGCGGGTGAGGACTTTTGAGCTCGTGTTGTCGGGCTCGTTTTTTGGAACGCGGTGTTTTGAGACTTTGAATCGCGGGGTGGGGGGGTCGGGGGTGCCGCGGGGTGGTGTTGGGTGGGAAGGGGGAGGGGGGGACCTTGCACGGCCCCGCGCGGCGGTGATGGCTTTTAACGCTCTGGTGACGAGGCCAGGGGGCGCGGGGGCGCGGGGGGGTGGGCTTGTGCCCACTGGCTTGCGGTGCCGCGTAAGGGCTGAGGTTGTTGGCGCCTCCCGGAATGGGGGGAGGCTGGAGGATTGTCGGGCTTGGTTGTTTTTTCCCTTTGCCTCAGGTAGGAATTTTGATCGTGTGGTGAGCGACGACCAGGGGCCGGGCGCTTGTTTGGGAAGTCCTTGGATGCGGAAATTTGGCTAAGGTTTCTTGTGTTGGTGGTGGGCGTGCGTGTCTGGTGTCGATTGGGAAGGACGGTTGTTGCTTGGCCGTGACTCGAGGGCGCGGATGGCGGCAGATTGGAGGCGGATCGCAGGTCGTGGGCTGCGGCCGTGGGGAGGATGGATTTCTTGGTGGAGGGGAAGTTCCCGCTCGAGTTGTGGTAAGATCGGCCCAGGGGGTTCGCCACCCGCGCGAGCGACTGCCGCCGGCTTTCCGCGGGAATTGGGAGGCCTGGATCGTGTGGAACGATCGGTGTGACGGCAATCGTGGCTCGGGATGAATTCAGGTTGATTTTGGGCTTTGGGGGCGCGTGGCTGCCACGCGCGTTGAAGCAAAGCGGGGATGAAGGGGAATGTGCGACGCACTGTGCTGTCGGCGTTGATACGATTGAGGGGAGGGTCGACAGTGCGAAGCGACGTGTGCCGGTCACGGGGAAAGCCTCCAACGACTGCGAGCTTAGATTGGATCCGATGTTTGTGACAGCAGCCTGGGCCTGCGTGCTCGCTAGATATCGCGCCGGAGCGGTAGTCGAAAGGGGGTTTGGAATCGATTGGCGCGACGCCCGATGCATGCCGTGATCTGGGTTGGAGGATCGGAAGCATCCTGCTGCGACGAGAGTTTGCTCAGCGCTGCATTTGCCAGACCGACAGCCGCCTGCGCCTTGAAATCGCCGGAGCTTCTCGTCATGCTGATTGCCAAACCGCCAGCCCTCGTTGCCAAGATCATCGCAAGCGTTAGCTTGTCCATTGAGCCGATTTATGGTGATGTGCTGCTGCCCATGTATTTTGATTGGTGGGCTGATGTTGTGGTGATGGCCTCCTGCCCGTGTATTGGATCGGTGGGCTGACTTTGTGCTAATGGTCCCTGCCTATGTGTTGGATTGTTGGGCTAATTTTGGGTGAGGGCCCCCTGCCAATGTATTCTTGTCGACAGGCTGTTTTTGCAGTGACGGTTCCCTGCCTGTGTGTTGGATTGCTGGCCACCAGTGGCGTCTGCATTCAGACCTGCCCTTGGCTGACTTGCTGGGCTACTGCACAGGTCCGAATGAGGGCGAGCCCAGCCACGCATTCGCTTCAGGATTGGTGCCGGGAGGATTGGAGGCGGCGCTTGCAAGAAGAGGGGCGTCGATGAGGCAGGAGGCAAGGGCCGCGGCGCCACAGGTACCAGTCGTGCCTCTGGCACCAGCGCCATGAGGATATGGGTTTGTCCACGCTTTGTGCGGGCCCCCTGAGTGCATGTTTTTTTGCTGCATGTGCTGTGTATGTTTCCGCCTGCCCTTCCGGAGACTTTTGCATAATTAACTGCACCGGTATTCGCAGGCTCAGCTCCCTTTGCTCAAGAGGTGGCGCTCAGTGTATGAAATGTTTTCCTTTCTCGCAACAACTGTTCCTATTCCTGCAACGACTATCCGCTGCACGACACATTTGCCTTCCTTCCCTTGATCATTCCTCCTCACACAACAAGAAGAAGATTTCCCACATATGTTGTTGGGACAAAGGTGTGCATGTCACCATCCATGCTATGCCCGCAATACACGACCCATTAGAACGCATCCTCACACAAGGGCGACGCTGTTGTGGAGGTGGGTCGCGTGGACCTCTGGGGGGAGCCGTCGACCTTCTTTGACATCGCCAATGAGCCCCTGGATCTGGCGGAAGCATCCCCTAGCCCCTCAGACAACCTGCAGTGGGCGCGAAAGAGCCAGCGCCAGTCCAGAACGTCATCCAGACTCCCGCCAGAGGGCGCCGAACTGCTCAGGGGCAGGGCGCCGGAGTCGCCCTTTGGGTGGTGCTCGCCCCCGCCCCCCACCCTCCCTTCTTCGCCCCCTTCGGAGGTGTTTCAGTTTCCGAGGGGCCTTTCATCGCCCCCGAGGGTGCGGCCCGTGATGAGGCCGGGCCGGGGGGGGCGGGCCCCTGGGCCCGCGGGGGACCAGCGGTTCGGCTCCTGGGAGGACATATTGGACCCGGAAGATGAGTTTCTGGAACTGGGGATGATTCAGGCCAGGGGGGGCCCCCCCAGGCCCAGCAGGGGATCTGGGAGACCGTCGACGGCCGACGCCGGGACATCTCTGGCGGAGCCCAGGTGCGGGCCAAAGGGTTTGTGCAAGAAGCTCGTGACTACAAATGGACATAATGTGCATGAAATGAACAAAACAAATAAAGTGAAGGAGTACATCCTTGGCAGAAAGGAACAGCTTGCAAAATTGTTGTTCACCCCAAGTGTGCTGTCATAACTGGGTAAAGTGGCAAGTTGCTTACTTAGTGAATCGGCATTTGCAAGACATTTCAAGTTGGCATGCATTCCTAGACGAACCTTGTGCGACTGTTTGAGTTGTCAAAGTACAAATGCAGTCCTAGGTTTTCCTGGGTGGGTGTTGTTGTGTCAGCAATGTGCATGGCGTTTTTACAGAGTTTGATGTTTGGCTCCTTCACCGGTGGGTCAACAAGCAAGATGTGAGTTTGCATTGGAATGTATGGTCAGCCTATGAATCCAATCTACCCACACATCGATTGGTGACCTTGCAGTTGAGCACATGCAAGCCCATTCCTGCAGTCATACCACTTTAGTCAACTGGCAACGCATAAGTCAGCCTCGTCCAGATTTCACCGTGTGCAGAGGAATGAAAATTGTGTGAGTGTACCTTGGATGGCACAGGGCATTTAACTGCTGCAGCTATCCTTCTAGGAATCGTTGAGCCCCAGTCGTCAAAAGCAACTGCTGAAAATGACGAGGGTATCAGCAAACAGACAGAACTGGAGTACTATCTTCTCATGGTTCTGGGGGTGTCAAGGAGGAGAAGATTTCCTACAATTGGTGGCACGACAAAGATGTGTATGGCATTGCCTTTGTATAGCCAAGCATGGATAGAACTACTGGCTGTGAGCAACTGACCAGCGCTGCCTTGCCACCACCACCCCCAGGTCGGAGTCTTATCCCTGCGGCTTCTTTGAACCGCCTTCAAGCGAGGCAGGGGAGGGCAGTGGCGGCTTTCCTTCGATGACCCAGCGCGCCTCCAGGGGCATGGACTCGAGGCGGACAGCGCTTTTGGAGGCGGCAAGGGAACAGGTGCGGTTGCAGTGCCCTGGGTGCTCACTCTAAGACACATGCTGCAGAGTCCCTCTGGATCATGGCTATGCATAGAAGGCCATCGCTGCTGCGCAGCAAAGGCGACAGCTGGTGTTGACACACCATGTGCATCTCCTTGTCAAAACCCCTGAAACTGAATTAATCTTCCTGCATTCCATGTAGGCCAACGTGTAGTATGTGTTGAATCATTGGCTCATCGATGTACCAATTTGTGGGTCAGTGCAGCTGACTCATGCGATGGCAACCTTGCAGGCAAATTGTGCCACCAGTCCATTACTTTAGGACCATGGACGGCGCCAATTTCCCTGATTGTGTTGCGAGACCAGTATTGAGGACGATAGGCAGTGCCAATTTCCCTGTAGTTGGTTGTTAACTTCTCCGTGGCGGTGGCTCCCTGGGACAGGCCCTCCAACAGACGAGGGATGCCATCCAGCGTCATCGAACACAGCGTGCACAGCGAATCCGCGAACGGCGCTCGTCACTGCGTGAAGAGTTTGGAGCACTCATGAATGCCCTCGGAATATTGCATGCTCCGGAGGGTGGGCCTGACAGGGTGCGGGAAGGCCGGAGCAGCATGTTCTCCATGCAAGAGGTGAGCACAAAGTCTCTCTGTGCTTGCTGTTCTCTCGTCCTCTGTGTGCTCTGTTGTTCATTCTTGCTGTCTGCGGGAAGAGTACAGCATCACCGAAATATGCTGCATCACGATTTGGAGTCCGGGCGCGGCACCCACCCTAATAACAGAAATGATATGGGCCTTGTGCCGCTGGACAAGAAATTGCAGGGTGAATTAAAGGCCCCAAATGTGTTGTACATGAGCCTACAGGGAGTCTTATGAAAAAAATTGAAAGAAATAAAAATGAAAAAATGCCAAACAAAATGTGCGTTGTCGCCATGTCCCTTGGACATACAAAACTGCAAATGTGTCCAGTGGTTGCGTCCCTGACTTGAAGCAGCATGCAACCATGGAACTCAGCATGTGTGAAGATGTAGTTTACAGTCCTAACTGGCAGTCGAGCGACAACACACTGCCAGTTCTCCACCAACGTGCTACACCGCACGGTAATGACAAATAATAAACCACTGTTCAAACAATCATTATTCTCTGTTCCACTTTTCAACACGTGAAGCCATCATCAGCAGAAGAAATCAAAGACACAGTGCCAGCACAGAGTGGACTGCTCCGCCTGAAGCATGCTTGCATGCCTCCATGTGGATGCAAATTCTTCCACTTGCATATGTCAAGAACACATAACGGACAATGCTCATCTCCCTTCCAGCCGATGGCGTTGCAGCAGTGTCTAGCACGAGTTGTTCCTCTCTCGATATAATCACGAATCAGCACAGTACGCGGTACACACCAGATTCCCTGCATGGTGGGGCTTGTATTTTGCTCCGTTGTGAATCGTTAAGAATGCACTGGTGGGGACGACAAAGAGCCCCAATCGGCCCGCAGACTGGCTCAGAGGCGTGGCATTAGTTGCATCGCCATGAGTATCCCTGCCGGCTGTTGGGCCCTGAGGAGGGAAGCTACTCTGTATGCATAGAGTTTTGCTTTTCGCAAGTGGTGGCTCAGGCGATAGTTCCACAGCCTCCAGCTTGTACATCAAACATATGCACAGGCCTCCGTTTTCCAGAGGTGGATTTGTTTGTCTACAAACTACAGTCCATGGCTGATTGAATGCATCATTAACAGAAAGGGCCAGCCCAGAATATGGTCCACAGCCCATGGAGAGGGATGGAAAGTGGCGCACAGTTGCATATGCACCCTTGATGCATTACATCTGTACATGTGTGTGGTGCCCGTGACATTGTACTGGGACCTGTTCTTAAGGTCATGGCTCCCAGTTCTCCTGAACGAAACAGACAATAAAATCCCCACATCGCATTTCTGGGAAGTGGGCATAGACATGGCGACATGCTTTCCTGATGCAAGGAATTCAACAGGTCTCCAGCCCATGGTTCATTTTGGCATGCAAACGTGGCACAGTTTTGCCGCCTTTGTATTTTGTGCAGCTCAGTGGTTTGACGAGCTGCAAGTCGTGTGGCACTATGCCGTTTGACGGAACAGTGGCGCCAGCATGTACAATACAGGATTGAGGATGAATGTACACAAACGCACCTGCTGATGGCGACAGCACCATGTTGTGGAATCACTTGAGAGGGTGCCATTCCGAACCCACGCAGAGCTTTGTGGGCCGTCATCCGGTTCTGGCCTGGATGCCCTCAGCGGATGTTGGCCTATGCAGAGCGGAGGCAGTAAGCAGTTGGCCTGCATGCCCTGCATCGGTTGCTGGGCGCATGGGGTTGTGTTTCGCTCCACAAAGGCGAATATTGCCACCTGCGTTGGTATTGAACCACATCAGTGAAAGCTATGGCGATGTTAAATAGCGTGCATAACCCCTTGCAATCAACGATTACAGTCAAAACAGAGCTTGGCTTGTTCCCACAGGCCATGATGGGTATTGCGAGGTCCGGTTTGCCCCCGCACCTACTGTTCACAGACCGGGACTTCACTCCGGACGACTACGAGTGGCTGTGCCGGCTGGACGAGGGGGTCGAAAACAGGAAGGGGGCAGACGAGGACACCATCAACAAGCTGGCGACTGTGGCGTACGCGGACGTTGAAGTTGAAGATGCACAGGAAGATGTGCATGAGGAGGTGAGGAGATTGCTCTTGCGAGTCGTGGATTTTCGTGTGTTGAATTGTATTCCCCCTTTGTTTATGTGCAGCACAAAATGCATTCTTGTCCCACCATTGTTTGCCGTGTATATTGTAATGATTAACAATCTTTGATCGCTTTAGCCAGAGCTGGACAAATGCTGCCCTTGCGCCTGCAAGACGATTGCAGATGCAGTGTGATTTGCAATGTTTGTGCAGTGTTCTTTTTCTCACACTCAGCAGGGACAAAAACGGCGCTTTTGCGCGAATGGGCCACTGGTTTAGTGAGTACACAGTATTTGGTTGGTGCACTTATCACTGAGTCCTCTGATGGCTTGTTTGGTACTTAAACAGCGCTGCCTGTCGCAAGCACTCAGCACGTGTGCCCTTTTTGGGTGCATGTTTGATTGCCGCTTTGACTGCTACTGATCCTCCCCCAGGGCACCTCACTGGCTGTTACTGATTTCCCACCGGCTGTCTCACTGACTGTTAGTAATCCTCCTGCAAGGTGCCTCAGACTGCCTTACTGTGTCACCACACTCTACTGTGAGCCTTGTCTGAATGGCTGTCAGCGTTGCTTCCACTGATCGCAACAGTGGCGGATATGTGAATATGTAGCATATCACATGTGAAGACTATGCTATGCATACTATGCATGCCATGCACACCATGAATGCTAACATGTGCGCCTTGCATCCGATACCATGTGTACTATGTTTGCCAAGCATGCTGTGTATGAGTTTGGTGTATGAAATGATGCAGGATGAGGTTGAGGAGGTGGTGGTGGTGGACGAGGCCCAAGGGCTGAGCGACCCTGCCAGGCGATGCCCCATATGCCTGGAATGCTTCGGGCGGGAGGACATGCTGCGCGTGATGCCCTGCAAGCACAAGTACCACATGGGCTGCCTGGACAAGTGGCTGAAGATCAAGGCCACCTGCCCAATCTGCAACCTAAACATCAAGGGGGAGTGAGAAAGCTGGAACGGAAAACCAAACTTGAAAGAAAAGGGAGGGATGTCCCTGTGTGTGAGCACGTGTCTGTGCAGTGTGTGGGAAGAGTGGCAGAGTCACACTTTGGCTGTGGATGATCAAGAGAGTAACGGATGGCCCAGGCACTTGCGAAGCAGTGTGGGGCGTGGGCACGGGTTCGGCAGGATTTGATTTGGGGGGGGGGGGGGTGGGCGCCAACGTGTTCGATTCCATTGTTTGCATACTTGTCATGAGATAACAAGGCAAGCCATTATGCCAAGCCGGCGGTGTCAGGCAAAATAGCGCCGTAGCGCAGGATTGTGGAGAACGGATCGGCACATGCGCGGGTTACATTGGGAACACTCTGACGGAAACATTGTAAATGAGAGATATGAGAGTGCTGCACAAAAGGCCACGAGTGGGACAAAAAGAGAAATGGCGGCAAAACGTTGTCTTGGATGTCCCTATGGTGCAAGAGTTTCGAAACCTGGAGAGCACCCCCAGCGCCGGGGCTCTCCACCCTTGTCGTTCCTTGTGCTTTTTGTTGTTGTTCCAAAATCAAACAAACGGAAAAAGTAAAAAGTCCAGCTGTTCCTCGTGCTGTTGCGTCTCCACACGCTGCTCTTCTCTTGAGGCTGTGGTTGCGCCCCTCGTTTGAAACTTGGAACGGGAAAGCACGCCCAGCGTGGGCTGATCGCTGCATCGTTGGCCGTGATTTGGTGCCATTGCAACAGTCCGTTGTGAACTCTATTCTATTCTATTCTATTCTATTCTATTCTATTCTATTCTATTCTATTCTATTCTATTCTATTCTATTCTATTTATTCAAAAGCTGCTCATGAGCAAGTTGGGATTGGCCCTTGGGCACACTGCCCACCAAAACCCCAACGAGTTGCAGCAACAACAGAACGCCACAATTTCAGCAGGAGAACAAGCAGCAGCCTGCTGCCGTGCTCCACAGGGCTCCGCAGCACGCTCGCATGTCTTGAGCCCATGTGCCCGTCACAGCCTCCTGGCTCCCGGGCCTGACTGTGCTTTGTACTGTACTTTGTACTGCACTTTGTACTGCACTTTGTACTGCACTTTGTACTGCACTTTGTACTGCACTTTGTACTGCACTTTGTACTGCACTTTGTACTCTGCACCACGTCGAGGGATCTTGACGTCTCGACTTGGGATGCGCGACCGTGCTGCGAAACACGTACCAGCGCGCTGTCGAGATATTGCCGAACCACGCAGGTCCACGGTTGCCAGAAATTCCCTGCAGATGACTCATCCCCGCCCGCAGTACATCCGGCGCTCCCCAATCCCGGAAAAGCAACCCAGCACTGAAAAGGCAGATGCCAGGCAAGGCGTGATCAACCCGCAGGCGCCGGCCGCCCGCGTCCCCCCCTGGCAGTCGTGCCCAGCTTTTGGCGGCCGCGCCGGTGGCACGCCCCGTTGGGGCCGCCCGCAGGATCGCCATGCCGCTCGCAAAGGTCGACACCGTCAAGTCGGACTTCGACATCCCGAAGGACAAGCTGACGGGCAACCTGGACTTCACGGTGTCCAAGCACGTCAAGGTGGGTGCGCGGGTTGAAGCTGTGAGTCGAAGGCCTCGCAAAAGATGTCTGTTTTTAGCACCGGAACGCGAGTTGTGTGATGGATCGCCCCCTCCTGAGCAAGCGTGCGGAGCGCCCCGCTGCGCTTTGAATCGCGTCGGGTGGCACTGTCAACGAGAATGGAAACGAGCGCCTCTGCGGGGGGTGGCTGGGGGGAGTGGGGAGGGATTCGCTCCCATCCTCGGAGACTGCAATGCCGAAATCTGCGCGCTGGATGGACCTTTGATAGCAGCAGTGGAGGCCTGCCGCCCCGAGGGGGATGGCGTGAAGGCGCGCGGCCGGAAGCGTTTGTTCGACGCGGATCATTTTCCGATCATTTTTTTCCTCGCGGCTTGGACCGCATGCGGCGGGCAGCCGTTGCCGAATGGCGCCCAAGGACGGGGTGGGGGGCGGGGGGGGTGGGGGAAATTGGCTTGGCCTGATGTGCGCCCATCGACGCTCGGGCGCAATGACTGAACGTGATCGATCGCGACGTGCTGTGGCCCGGGCGACGTCCCGATCTGCTGCGCGGCAGCCCGGCTGAATTTTCGCGCGATTGATATTGGATTTGCCCCATGGAGATAAAATTTGGCGAAGCGGGGCCCTGGGGCTGTGGGGTGCCCATGGCCGCTTCAGGTTGTCCGCGGCGCTCGTGCGCGGATTGCGCCAACTTTGCTGAGGGAAACATGTTGAAGGGGAGGGTTTGTGGATTTGTGTGCTCACAACCCAGATCTGGCCCCGTCGCAACTGCACATGTGGCAGATGCGTGTTCACTATTGAGGGCGTCAAATAGTGAACACTCATCTGCCACTACCTGGATATGGTCCCAAATTCCTTGTGAAACACGCCGGGCGCATTGCACAAGGAATTGCGAAGCGCCAGGCGTGTTTGACAAGGTATTGTGCGCCATCTCCTGCTGTCTCCTATGTACGGTCGGCTTCCACTATTGGTGCCCTTTCCGCGGTGCCTGCTGTGCCGATTCGTTTGGGCGTTGCCACCAAAGTGTGGGGGGGGGCTGTATCGTGGCCCTGGATGCAAATGCAGACAACGAAATTCAGTGTTCCTAGCAGCTGAAGGGCAGCTTCGCTGGGATGTTTCCTCTGTTGCTGTTTCCGTTTGCTCTTGTTGTTTCCCTGTTGTTCCTTGCAGCTGAAGGCTTGGGTATGTCTGCATACTCTTCTGTTGTTGTGTTCACTTGTGCACGTGAGTTTTCTGCTGTTGCTCCTTGTAGTTTAAGGGCCGCGTCGCACTAAATGACAAGCTGGTGAGGGCGGAGGTGGCTGGACGGGGATGGAGCGTCGCCTATGACATCCCGAAGAATGTAAGGCCAATTGTGTCCTGTGCGTTGTTACATTGCCCTTAAAACCTTCTGGATAACAGCAACACTTGTACATTAGCAGCATCTGATACTTACATCACCGTTTGCAAGCAAGCCTCAAGGTATTCTTGGCTAAGGACGGAGGTGCCCATGGTGTACCATCGCGCTCCTTTTGACAGCGAATCTTGGAGGCCCACAGGGCCTGGCTCACCCCTGTGTTCCTCCTGCTGCTATTTTTGCCCAGCAGCTGACAGGGAGCACTGACACCAAAGTCGTTTGGGACTCTGTCCTGCCCTGTAGGAGCACCAAATGTGTCTGCAGCACAGTATGTCCACAGTAGTATGTGTCTTCAGCGCTCCAAACTTCCACAGCCATGTGTGATTTCCATTTCTTGCCTTTGCCAAAGCACATATGAACCAACAAGGTTCTTGCACTGGGAGAGGCGATGACAGTACAGCACTGTGCTTTTTACCACCACCATGGATTCGTCCACATCATGGTGTGTCCAATTCCAGTGATTACATACATGTCACAACATGAGAAAGCAAGCTGTTTCGCCAAGCTGGCTATGTCGGGCAATGAATGTGAGCAAACTGTGATGTTCCTAAAGCATCATAGCGTGTGTGAATGTGGGTGGGGTGGGGGCAGCGTATGCGGGGGGAAGTTGTCGGCACATGCTGTGCATGTTGTACAGGATGACCTCCACACCACATCTTCTGCAGTGTTCAGTGAATGCATCCATGACATTCAACGAAACAAAACACACACTGGTCACTGCATGTGTTTCTACTGTGTTTATGCCAACTGGCAGCTTCAGTTGTTCCAGCCATGTACATGGACCTCACAATACTTGACAAAGGCGATCCCAAGCCATGTGCCATAGTAGCATACAGAATACATAGCCCATCATTCAGCAACCAACACTGAGCACACCAACATCTGTTCGGCACACCTAATGGCTGGTGTGCCATCCACTGGAGTTGTTTATATGTCACTGCAAAACAGCTCCCAAGAGTCGGGGTGTAATTCCTTTAGGTGCAATTGTGAAAAGCGACCAAACTTTGCCCCTTGCACCTGCCAGCCGATGTTGATCAAGCGACTAGACACAAAATGTGCTTCTAATGATCTCCATATGTGTCCATATTAGCAGTCTCGAGTCCAATATGGGATATTTACAGCATGAGTTATTGGCAGTTATGAGTCAAACATGATTCCAATTTAGCTGTGCGGTGGTTCCTTTTCCCTTTGCCCTGGAGCCAACCACAACATCTTCTGCATTGTAGACCAGATCCTGCATACAGTTCTTGCTAAGGAAGAGGGTTGCACATTGCATCACAGGTGTTTCTGGTCCCTAATGTTACTTCTACTCATTTTAGGGGACTTTAGGATGGAAGCGCTCCTTCAAAATGCTGACAGCCATGCGAGGCACTTTTGCAGCCTCCAAACTTCCCTAAACAGAGTGCATGACAGTTTGCCCATTGCATTTGTCCACGCCTGCTTGCCCAGTGCATTCAATCCATTTCCACAGCATCCAATGGATCCTGTGGTCATTATTGCTGAAGCTGTAGCCTCTTTGGTAGTTGGCATGCTGAAAACTGCTGAAGATGCCAGAAATCAGGAGAAACAAGACTATAGCATGGATGTCCTGTCCTGTAGCACCGACTTCCTCATGTAATGATTTCACTGGATGCATTTTGCGAGATCTTTGTGACAATCTGTTTGCTGATTCTCCCTGCTGCTTCTGTTTCCCATCAGAGCGCAACTGCTATCATGACGGGGCGAATTGAGGGCGCAGACATCAAGCTGACACAATTCGTTCCAGACATGGACTGGAATGTGGTCCCATCGCCTGAGTTGGAGGTGAGCTGCATGGAACTCGTGAAATGGAGATTGTGCCACAGGGGGCTCGCTATTGTGACTGGACACCTCGGGCGGACTTGGTGATAATGAGCGTTGCATCATGGTGCATGTAAACCATCAGGGGTTGCACACTGCAGATAGTGGGGTGCGATGGGCAATGCTTAACTTAGCACAAGAAGGGCTCTGGGTGCAGCCTACTCAACTCCCAGCAGGCCACCTGTGCAAATAGGAAGGCAGGAAAAGAAAAGAAAACACAACCAAAAGAATGGTTTGTTCCAGCTTTCGGAGCACCGGTCGTTGTGAAGAGCATGAACAAATAAAAACTAAGCCGTAACCAACTAGACTGAGTCAAGCCATTCCTTTTCGGACCATGCACAAGCAGCCATTGGGAGCAGTGTTTGGGTGTTAAATGGGACGTGAGAATGGCAATAATTGCACAGTATCGATGAGAAGTTGATGAACATCAATTGACATTGTTGGCAGGCCCATGTCAAGCAGCCCTGGCCAAGGGAGAAAAATCCTTCGCGTATACTCAGTTGATGTTGAGAGCACGAGCACAAGGCTGCCATAGATTCAGTCCCCGGTTCTCTTGTACACACGTGCCTGATGCCACCCAAAAAGGCGCAGAGGCACCACAACGTTGCATCTTAGCACTTGCCAAAATAAAAGCCAGATCGGAATCGGAACAAAAATTCAGATCAGTTGTGTTGGGTGCAATCGATCCAAGAGTTGTGTGCCCTGTTCCATTGACGAAAGCTCTATGAATGCAGCTCTCCACTAAACTCATCAAACAGGACGACTGGAACGACCGGCTGAGGCTGAAGTACGACTTCCGATCCCGAAAGGGGTCCATGCAAGAACGTGTGTTCATCCACAAGATCCACAAGGTCATGATCTCCATGGACAACACCACCAATTGGGATGGCGCCACGTACTTTGCGCGCTCCAAGCTGGGCTACCCGCTGTGCCACAACCTGGGTCTCCGGTACTCGATGGCGGGGGGGCCCGTGGTGAGGTACAAGATGCGGCCCATTCCCAGGCTGAAGATAAAGACAGAAACTGCGCCGAAGCCGCAGACCTTCTTTGCCTCGATATTCTACAGGCCAGAGCTGAAAGAAAGGTGTGTCACTTGTTGCGTGGCTGTGTTGTGGATTGATTTATGTGCACTGCCATGCACCTTTTGTGTGTTGTGTCTACCTGAATGAGAGCGCTTCCGGTGGTCTTGCCACCTGTAGCAGTCCTTTTGAGCGCAGACAAGTATTCAAGACATTGATACTTTTTGGACATGGGGATGCAGATGCACAGGTATATTGTGTAGACACGTCTTGTTCAGAGATTCAGCATGGCCAACCTGGCAGGGTTGGCATTGCCTGTTGTCCACAAGCAGATCCCGACCAGAAATGGCCATGTTTTAGTTGATTCCAAATGAAGGGTGATGTACCAGCTTGAAATCGAAAGCAGAGAATTGGCAAAGTGGCAAATCCTCTAATACTTGCGATGGGTTGTGAGGAGTGCACGCACGGCTGCTTCTCACCTGTTTGTCTTCAGATCAGATGCCAGATCGTGACACATTCGTTTTCCTTCTTGCTTCTCACCTTTCGACTTTCGAACAAGTGCCAGATCAAGGCACATTCGGTCTTTCCCGAGAGTTTGGATTGGAAGAACGTTCACTTGCTCCCCTGTTGCATCAGTGTTACTGTCGTTGGATGCAGTGGTTGGGCATGTTGATTGATCAATCGCTGACAGCTTTTATGCAGTAGTGACAAAGCACTGCCCGACAGCAACACGAGAACTTGTTCTTTTTCCAGGTTTATGTGCCCATGTCGTATATTGGTACTCAAACACACTCATGAACTTGGTGCACACACACAGTTGTGCTGAAAACACGCCCAGTTCCTGCGCCAGCAAGCTCTCCTGAACTTCTCACTGAAGTTCTCCGCTCGCTTTGGTGTGGCTCTCCTGAACTTCTCACTGAAGTTCTCGCTTTGGTGTGGCGTGTCAGTGCTGACGTCGGCTTAACCATCAATACCCCCTTCGGAGGCTCCAAAACGAAGGGCAAGAAAACGGCGGCCGGCATCGCCCTGAGGTGGAAATTCTAATCTTGCGTGCAGCCGGCCCGATGGGGACATCCACGAGAGCGAGGCCGCGTTCTGTAGGGTTGCAGATCTGGAGTAGCTCGAGGACTGGCTGATGAGAGGGCACGTGCCGGGCGGTAGTTAGCAGTTCTTTCAGCGTGGGCAAGGGGGCGGGAGCAGTTTCTCATAGGCACAGCTGGTCACCGCGAAATTTTGTGACGCTTGGGGCAACTTGAGCATAAATTCTCTTTAATTCCGCGTATTATGTGGATTTTTGGGTGCATGGAAGGCATCTGGTTGCGTGCTTCCTGCCGCCCTTCATCGTGAATTGGCCACCCCTGGGCTCAGAATACGCCTTGGTTCTTGCTGTCTCGATTTGCCACACCCCTTCCCTTGCACCCCCTTGAGAGGCAATGCCCAGGGGTTAACAAGTCTGTTGGTGGCTGGGGTGGAGCAGCGCCAATATGACAATTTTGTATTCTCGATCTGGCTGATGCCTAGGCAAGTAAAGCAGAAAGGCGGAAAGTTGGGAAGTCCGAAAGTCGGAATGTCCGAAAGTCGAAAGCCTGCCTGCATTCCGCATGGCACAACGTATTCGTCGTTAACCGTATCGTTACCTGTGTGCATCAGTACCCGTATCGTCGTCTGCAGAGATCCTTACCCACATCGTTATCTGTACGGATCGTTACCTGTATCGTTTTCTGTATCGTTGGTGTGGATCATTACCTGTATCACTACCCGTATCATCCCATATCATTCCCCGTTCCACACTTGGCTCCCCAGTGCATTGTGCAGAGCAAAGTATTGTGCACGTACATTCAGCTCCTCAGCTTCGGCCAGCCGCAAGAACCCCACGACAACACCCAGCAGGTGCTATTAACACCCAAGCACAAAAACACGAAAACAATTATTTCTTCCACAATGTAGTAATTTCGAATCAAAGAGAAAACAAGGGTGCAACTACTTTGTGCCACAATGACATGCAGTCGTCACTGATTGTCGGAGAGTGGCGGCGCCAGGGCTGTGCGACTGCAGAGAGCGTCTGCCGTTTTGGCGTGTTGGCATTTGGGCTGATGAATGGTTCAGTTCACCACGAGCTCCGCAATGGGGACGCGGCCTGGGCGGTTGCAGTTTGTTGAGTGAGGGCGGCAGTTCTAGGGACGGCGAATTCAGCAGATATGGCAGGGCAGCGCATTCTCGAGCGTAGAACTTCGTGTCTCCGCCGGCCTTGGCTACGAGCGCCAGTCGAAACTTCGATCCTCTGCTCAGATTGCGAGCAGCCAATGTGTAATGCCATGATCCACTGATCCCTGATTGCACAATCCCTCATACAACAATTTACACAACATCCTGTACGACATTCTACACAACACTCTATGCATTATGGCCGTGCCCCTTGCACGCTGGATTGTGCCCCGCGTCGCTTCACGTCCTGACGTCATGTCGATGCATCCGTGCGAGGAACAAACACGTAAACAAACATCCTACACGAACAGCGCCACAGTCCCCATATCTGCACAAACACTATAGCATTCCCTGTGCAAGAGGGCGCTCCCTCGTCAATGACCACAAGAATACCACGGCGCCCCCTGCGCTCTGTGGGGTTTGGTGAACAATTGGACCCGACGTTGGCAGCGGGTTGAACCTTCTCAGCTGGTTGTGGACATTGTCCACTGAGCAATACGAATGCACATTGAGCAGTATGAACAGTGAACGCCCACTGGACAGGATGAGCGGCCGGGCCCCCACAACTACCACTACCTTGGTACCAAATAGTCTCACCCAAATGTTGGAGTTGCAGGTGGACCAACTCCATGAGAGCTCTCTCGTTTGCACTGCGTCTGTGGGGTGCCCACCCGTGATCCATTGCCAACCACTTTTAGCTGCTTGAATGCCTTTCAAATAGGTCTTTGGGTCTTTGCTAGCAATCACTCTTACGTAACAAGTGTTTCATAATCACTGCACGTACAGATAGATGGCCGATGGCTCAGCAATCCCCTGTCCAGCCTCGGAGTTAGCAATTTCCATGAAATGAACGGCAGCAGTCCTTGGGGAGCGAAGCAGCTTGCCAACAGCATCGTCTTGATTGAGGAACAACGGGTATGAAAAAGCAATTTCGGAGCCATGTCACTTGTGTTCCATCCGTTCCCTCCATTTCCTTCATCGGCTTTGACATTGAACATCTCTGGACGGATCCCTAGAGAATCTGCAATGCTGAACTCAGACGTACTCCCTTCACGAATGTGTGACAAGCATGTGTATGTGCATCAGCTGCTAGCAATTGGCGGCCTTTCGAACTGAATCGAATTCCTATTTTTTGGGTGACTGGTTCGATAGGGATTGATAGATCACTCCTGGACAAATTACACCTTTGAGCATTTTAGGATGTCCTGAGTCACTGGCAATGATTTGGTCTACATCTACAAGGTCACAACACAGTTGTTGCGAACTTAACTCGATGTTCCTAAGAGGTGAAAGTTTCAATTCGACTCGAATGGCCACCAATAATCGACAACCAATGTGTGAATGCATGCTTGCCACTGATTCGCAGGAAAACCCATCTGTGGTCGGCACCGCAGATTGTTTAGGAATCCGATCAGAAATTACCAAGAAGCCAATAGCTTGACTAAGAAGGGAACACCTTAAACACAAGCAGATGATCTTCCAAACAAAAATTTCCATACCCATCGTGCCCAAACCAATGCAACTTTGAGGTAGCTGATGCTCATTCCTAACAGGAGTGTTGCCGTATGCTCCCATGTGATCCCTTGTTGATGGCAGACACCCCAGGCAGCGTTGCCCCCAGGTACATCCAAGTGCGGTGGCAGTCGTGCTCTGGCACGGTGCTGCTGCGATGTCATCCAATTCCATGATTCCGTCAACGCGAGCTTGTCTATCGTAGGTTGCATTAAAGGAAATAGTGGCATTGATGTGTTAATTAATGACATTAGTGCATTAGCATTAATATTGACCACCGTGCTGATAGCCTTGGGGCCTCAGTGCTTTGTAGCTGTGGTGGCTGCACTAGTTCCATTCGGCAAAGGTGATCAAACGAAATGCAAATACACACACAGAGCTCATTTTCGGTTGGTCTCGAAAATCGAACGGAATCTTCGCCTCAAACTTGGAGTCGGCCGGTGAGGACTCAGCTCAGTGCACTGCGAGACGATCCAGCCGTATATTACTTCAGTCACCCCTACAACAGCACATGGCATCGCTGAATCTGTTTCTGTTCACTGATCTATCCCTGCCCTGGTTTGCTTGCGCCTGTGTTGACGCCTGTCTGCCATTTTAGTTCGTTTTATGCACATGCTAGACGTTTCAAACAAAGCTGTTCATTCCAAGCAAGGTCAGGGTTTTGCTACCACCATATTGGTGCAGAACACAATTGAGCGCACTTTTGGGCTGCACAGGTGCGGTGAAGACTGTTTAAGTACTGTGTCGTGTAATCAGCTGCTCTAGAGTATGTCGACTGGTGGTGGTTTGGGCACATGAGTTTCAAACCCTATCGCACACAGTGTGTGAATGTCCCCGATGGGGGAATTGATGCAAAACCGTGAATTTTCAAATTTACTCGATCGCTGAAAATGATAAGGAAAACAATTGACTAATGTTTGAAATCCAATAAGCAAATGTGTTGACAATAGCTTTTCGTGTGTGTGAAATCAGGCGTTCATGACCGCTTCCCTGCTTTGATCTGTACTAGCTCTTCATTGATTGTGGGCTGAGGGCTGCCCTTGCACCCTGATACTGGCCAGCACAAGCAACAACCTGAAGAACGCATATTTTCGCCCACAACGTTGACCCATTTGATGATTATGACAATACATTTGGGTGAACATACGTCTTTTAAAAGAGTAGACATCATCAGGACTCAGTTTTACATGACAAGGCACAAATAGACACTGCCACAGTGCTTGCCATGTTTGCCACAGGTGCGACCAAAGACGTTCAGACTCGCCTTCCCTCCAGCTGTACACAGTGCCGACGGGCACCTGGTGCAGCTTCTCGTCAGCTTTCCATTCTTGCAGGCTGCGATATTCCTTGACCTCGGAAAATGCGATGTGCGCGACCTGGGCCGGCCAGCGCATCGAGGGTCAACGCGGTCAATGCAGTCAACGCAAAATGTGGTCCCAATTTATTTCACCAGCGAACAAGGTGCACAAAGCATCACAAAACAATCACCTATTAACAAAACACAACACAACTAAAGATACTACAATAATCTATGTATGAAAGGGGAGCAGCAACGGAATAAAAAGGGGAAAAATGGGACATAAATCAACAAACACAAGGTACCAGCTGGGCAGAGGGGTGTCCTTGAGGCACGATGTCCGGCAGCCCGGACTGACCCGGTGCACCTTCGGGGGTCTGCAGCAGAGACAGCGGCCTGCCTGCGCCCACAGAATCTGAATCGGTCTGTGCCACATGGAAGCAGACTGAACCAAACAGACATTCCTTGCATTGCATGTGGAGCGGCATGAGGTCCCATCATGCCACACATGGCTGGCCAATCAATATGTCATACTGAACAACTTGTGTGGAGGTATGCTGTGTGGAGGACCCCTGAGGCTTTGTCTTGCTGGCCTGGGGACACTGATTGGGGCCCATAAGCTTAATGTTGAGGGGCTCTTGTGTGGGTGCATTGACATATCGCATGCAACATCACGGATGCCGTTGCTGAGGACAAGTCACTTTCAGCACTGAATTCTGCAACTCTCATCATATGCTGCGATGCTTCATTTATACTCACCGGGGTGAGCAATGCTATCTCCACAATGGGGCACTCTTTGGTCGTCCATTGTTGCCATTTGGCAACAATCAACTCAGCATACAACGACTGCAAGGTCCCAGGCTTTTGCTTTGTCACATGTGGGGCTCAGGGCCTTTTCCATTTTGCTGTACGTTGTAGACTACAAAACAACTGATGCTGTTTGATGAACTGATCTGAAGCAAAAAACACTTGCCACCACAAGTATGATGTTCTTTGTGTTGCATGTTATGGATGCATTCACTCAGCGGTTTTGCCACACGATGTTATCAGAGGAACTTGCAATGAATCTCACCCAGCAGATCGTCAGGGAGAGGATAGCGCCTCGTTTCGATGGTCTTGGCACCAGAGAGAAGCAGCTTGCACCAGGGCTCCTGGTGAATAGACCCTCATCAATAGACTGAGTGAATCTACAACAGAAATGTGAAAATGATGCACCCGTCCCACCCCATGTCTCTACCATGGTGGGAGTCTCCCGAACACTTTGCATATTGACATGGACATCACCAGGTTCAGCAGGATACCATGCAATATGGATCCCCTGCATTCGCGCCTTGTCAGGGCAGAAGTCGCTTTGGGCTATTATCAATGTAAATTGTGGCAATTGTTCATGATACATCACCAACACTTGGGTTGTGCTGCATTGCCAGCACCTGCGCAGCACCGCTGAGCAGTTGCGACGGCGCCACGAACGCCTCTAAAGTGCCATCCCTGTGAATTGGAATGGAATCTCCATCGGAAGACCCACAAGGTGCAAGGACGCCGCTTTGTCTTTCAGAAGCCAACAAATGTAGGGCAAAAATTTCGCGAGCGCCTTGAATCCGCCTGACAAATGCACAATTGTAGCCAAGAAAATCTACCTGCCAGTCGTAGCCTAACCTAGCCTGGCCAACCCTAGCTACTGGAATGCACACAGCATAGGCAGATGGTACGACCCCTCCACGGAACAGGCCCGCCTCAGTCGAGCGCCTGCAAGTTGCAAGGGCGCCGCTTTAACTTAAGCAACAATATGCAGGTGATACAAAGGCAAACATATGTGAAGGAAAGCAAAGGCAAAAGGAAGGAGAAAAGAAATTTGCCCCGCTCGGCGATCAGCTGCGGATCAGCTGCCCATGCACACCCGCCGTCGCCCGCAAAGTGCAAGGGCTCCACTTGACCTTCACAGCTAATGCGCCGTTGAAATTTCGAAGGCATGTTCGAGCAAGGGAACTCACCCAGCTCGCCGACCATGTACGGCTGTCATCGCCCTCGAAGGTGCAAGGGCCCCGCTGCATCTTCACTAGTTCGAAGGAATTTCCATCTCAGCGATCAGCTGCGGGTTGGCTGCCCACCTGCACTTCCAGCGCGACGCCGCCGCAGTCCGCGCATTCCTCCGCGTTGCCCATCTTCGGCGCACGAAGGAAATGGCCTTTGGCGACTTTGGGACCTCTCCCGCTCCGGCCCGCTGCGCAGCCGCCACTTCCACGGATGGGGCATTGCTGGGCAGCTGCATTATGTACTTCACATACATACATTATAATGTATATAAGTATATACTTTACGTACATTATATACTTTACGTACGTTATGTGCTTTACGTACATCATGTATTTTACGTACGTCGTATACTTTACGTACATTATGTACTTCACGTACACTAAGTTCTTCACAGGGTGATCCCTGCGGGCTCCACCAGGGGAGGTGGATGGGCCCGCTGATTCGTGCCTTTGCTAGATTGCAAAAAAGCGGAAAGCAAAGTTTTCCACAGGGAATTGATTTAGCTATTTTCCTTTATTTTTGAGAATATAATTTTTGGTTCGTTGTTTTTCCTTTTAGTTTTTGGACGCGGCTTCTATCGCCCTCGGTTGCAGGTCGGCATTGAGGTTCCTTCGACGGTTCAATGCGTTAAACGAATAAAAAACCAAAACAGATAAAGTCGAAATAAGTAAATATAGCTATAAATAAATATAGCTGCCAATATATCTATATAAAAATATAACTACCTTTTTATTTCGTGCCTTTTGCTGGGCAGTTCTTAGACGGAAAGGAGCATGCAGAAGAGCGTGCAGGAGAGCGGCAGCAAGGAGCGGGTGCGCTGGGAGGGTCGTGGGCGAGGCACGAGGCGGGGTAGCCCAAGTGCTTGCTGCCGGCGCGTTGGCTGCACCGCGATTGACCGCAGTTTGACCGGCGCTCTAGGCGGCAAAGTGGTCCAACACAATACCATAGAATGTTCAACCCTTCCGCGTCAGAAAATTTTGCCAATATGCTTTTTGCACCGCAAGTTTTCCCGAGCCTTATTTTCTTTTCTTTGCGTTGCTCAGCAGCATGACGGGAGGCCAAGCGTTACGCTTTATTCATTTTTCTCTGCCAAAAACTGCCAAGCGTTACGTTGCCCTGACGAAGTTGAATGTTTTGCAGTAGGGGCGCACAACAGCTTTGCCGACCTCGCCGACCTCCTGGCCTGTTGGGCCAGTCCAGCGCTGCAAATCCCCGTTGAGTCGCCACCCAATCATACACCACGGCTGAACCGGTGTTGTGGGGGACTGAGGGTAGATGGGCAGCCACACTTGGACACAATGGTTGAGCCGGTTGTGTGGGGGAATCTGAATGCTGTGCGGTGCCTGGAGGCGCTTAGGGCATGCCAGGTTTCCGAAATCGTGGGATGTCCCACTTGGCCCACGTGGGACATCCCGCGATTCCGTAACTCTAGTGGCAGGGTGCGCACCGCCCACTACCTCCACTTGTCCCTCAAGCTACCAACCCACGCGCCTGGGGCGCGTTGGGGCGCTTTCCGCCGTTGCATTTCGTTTGCGAACAAGCTGTCAGATTAGACGTTGCTGGAGCTAAAGGCTGTGTACATCATTCAGAGTAGCCAGATTTTTTGCAACAGCAGCTTCGGGGCGCCTTAGCCCGCGCTGAGGCATTTTGAGCAACGACTCCTACAAACCTTTCAGAATGAAAGAGCAGAATCAAGTGCAGCGAAGTAGTGACCCTTGTCCCACTTTCTCCAGAAGCTGTTCTCAGCACTACTAAATGATTCTACTAGAATCATGACGTACTTTTACAACTCCATGGAGCCAATATAGGCTCAGGAAGATTGGGTTTGCCTGCCCGCTCCGCTGGGGGCCATGTTGTGGTCGACTCGCCTTTTCAATTTTATCAAAACTGGCCTCATCCTCCTAGCCTTGTGTCCCAAATAAACGCTGAAAATGGGAAGTGCATTCGTAATATGAATGCATTCGTCATTTTTAAATATGAATTCGCATTTCGAACAGGAAAAGGAGGCCGTAGAGGGAGCTCTGGAATGCAATACCGATTTCAGGGCAATTAAAGGCTCAGCAATAAGTGCACTATTAAGGTCTAGGTCAAGTGTTGAGTCTAGAGTACTCTGAGCACTTCGCTGGGAAAAGTTGTTAATGCGTCATTGAGCACCGATGCGCCCGTCGGAGGATATATGCCTCAAGACATATGGTCCTATTGCCTCGTGATGACGCTTGCATGATTCGAGCATTCCTTGAAGCTGATAGCTGTAAATGTCGCCCCGCGCGTAATGAATAATGACGTAACGGGCAATTGTAACCTATTGACCATGAAGCAATATAATTATGTTGTACCGTTGTGTTACTATACTGTACGATACGACATATACTACAGCAGTAACCATATGGTATAGTAATAGCTATGTAATGCGTCAGTAACTCATGTTGGGGCATTTACTGAACTGACAAAATTCACCAGTAGAGAACAGCCTGTTTGCGATGCCAATTGCGTCGCCACTTGACACAAATTGATGCCATCACAGCCAACTTTACGCCATCGCAATCACTGCGACGGCATCGTTTTGTGTCAAAATAGCATCGCAGTTGGCATCGCAGACATGCTGTTTTCTACCAGTGATTGTGTTTCGTAGTTTGCAACGCATCAGACCTAATGCGTTCTAGAAAGGCGTCAAACCATGCCGTGTTATCTTCAGGTTATTGTGTATTGCAGTGTGCAAACGGCAGAAAGGCCCAACCTCCGGCGACGCCGCCAGCGACGGTGCCGAGACCCCTGGCGATGTCGCCGAAAGGATGGCCTGGCGTCTGCAGCCTTGGCGGGATGATCGCAAGGGTGGCTGGGGTGGTGGCCGGGGCCGCCGGCCTCGTTGGCAGGGCTCTCAGTTCTCCCACCGACGCCACGGGCAATGGGGCGGCGACGTCGCTCCTGGTTGGGACTCTAGAGGCAAACGAAACAACCATATATATGACGGAGATCTAGCCATCTAGATAGCGGAGATCTCCGCTGGCAATGCCTTCAACTCCAGGCAATTGCCTCGAACAGATCCGGCATTCATGCAGTACTTGGCTGTACCCGCCTGCATCCACTGTACGCTAAATGGTGTTTCACGCTGCTCGGCGAGTGGCCTATGGTTTCACACATGCCCCCACCGCAAGCCCAGTGCAGCGGCTGTACTGCCACTTGCCCCCAAGTGGGGTCCCAACATTGGACATGGCCGGCTGCTGCGATATTTTGCGCTGCGTGTTTTGTTTGTTTGCCTTCCAATGTGGCACACTAATAACAGTCGATCCTAGAACCCATTCGCCTGGTTTTCTAGGTGGGAGGGCTGCTACTGGCTCACAGACGACCGTGGTAGGGTGCAGGACAGGGCCGCGAGCCGTTGGATAGATATTTTGGAACGGCGCCCATGGAATTTGGGCGGAGTTACATAAACGTTGACGGGTCAATCGTGGTGCAGCCCAGGCGCAGGTAGCAGGCGCTTGGGCTGCCCCTCCTTGTGCCTCACCCGCGGCCTTACCAGCGCATCCGCTCCTTGCTGGCGCTCTTCTTAACGCTCTTCTGCATGCTCCTTCCCGTCTCAGAACGGCCCAGCAAAGGGCACCGTTCGCAACACCGCATCACTTATGCATTATGGTGTGCGACTTGTACATGTTTGTACATTACCACTGAAGTGTATGGGCACCTTTGACATATGCATTATAAAGTAGGCTGCATTGCGGCGATGCGTAGGCATTTCTGCCTTACCGGTCTCCTGAGCCCACCCCGTCATGTACCCCCATGACAATACTTACAAACAACCGTCAATGTCACAAACCCGAGGTTCCCGTCCGTCAAACTTGCCCATTCCCTTCGCTAGTACTTCAACGCCACTCAGTGAGCGACTCCCCGTGAGTCATCTCCCATTCCCGTGCTGCACTCCCTCAACTCCCTCTCCATCCCACATCTAACACGAACTCCACTTTCCAGGGCGGGAGGGCTGGGTGCGAAACAACATAAGGAGGGGGACCGAGGGCTGCCTAAATAGCCGCCCTCCGCCGCCCCGCCAAAGCCCGCCAAACTCGAGGGCGCCACCGCCGGCGGCACCTCGTATTACTGTACTTTGGCTGAACCACGGTACTAGGGGGTCGCCAGGAATCCCAAGGGACGGGGTTGAGTAAACCCCAGGTTCAAACTGCACCGTTTGAATCGCCGGTGCAGCCCACCCATCGTCGCCCTTGGCAGAAACCCATTAACAGTATAGTTAATTTCATATCTGAAGTGTTGTATGGCTGGTTGTTGACAGATGATGGTCGTTGTCATGTCGAAAGAAGAGTTCTGTGGGTGCTAGAAAATTCGAATTGTTCGGTTGCGGGGGTCGTTGCCACCGTCGGAAAGGCTCTTCGTTGTGGGAAGGGTGAACAAAATATGTATGCCCCGGGCGTTTTGTGTGGTGTGGCCTTGCGTCTGGTCGTGTGCCAACGCTGTTGAAGCATCGGCGATCGTGGACCTGCGCTTCCCGTGTGCACTCCAAAGGGGGCCGTTTGAATCGCATCAACGGCCATTCCTTCAACTGTTGAACTTTCAGCTGTTACAGCACGAAATGAAAAGGTTGTTTTCTATTTATTTATTCCGCGTTTATTTATTTCACTTTCTATTCGTTTAGCGCGTTGAACAGACGAAGGAATCTCAGTGCCGAAGTGCAACAGAGGCCGACAGAGGCCGTCCAAAAACTAAATGGAAAAACAACGAACGGAAAATTCTATTTTCAAAGTAAAGGAAAAAATAGCCAAATCAATTCCGTAGGGACAGATTTACTGCCCACATTTCGGCAATCTAGCAAAGCAGGAATCAGCCGGCCAGTCAACTTCCTCTGCTGGGATGCCGCACCAAGTATCTAATATAAAGTACTCGTAAAGTGTCTAAGTACTGGGTGAGATGGTGTGTGTGTGGGGGGGGGGTGAGGCGCCAATTCCTTTAGCTCGGTACATTATACAGTACTTTAACACAGGACCTCATCTAGCAGGTTACCACAGTACATCACCACGTACATTAGCAGACACCCCACCCAGTACATTAGCGCAGTACCCCAGCCTGTACATTACGCCGCCAGCAACCCTCTCCCCGACCTCACCAGCGCCACGGCAGCCAGCCTCCGCTCCCGCCAGGCGCCTCTCCGCCACACAATATCTCGCAAAGTACTTTGGCCCCTTACCCCATCCAATACAGTAACGCTGCATCCAGTACGTTAGGGCAGTACAACACCCAGTACATTACCGTAATTTCCCATTCTGTACATTAGCCCAGTACCTCACCCAGTACATTATCACACCGCGCACCCTTCCCAGCAACCCCCCTTCCCCCGTCGTCGCCATGGCGGCCGCCGTGGCCCCCGGCGCCTCTCCTCCCCGCGGTCTCAAGCGGCCGGCCGAAGATTCTGATCGCGATGCGATGAGCGGCATGGTGAGCTTGCATCGCAGCCGCCTGGTCGATTGGCGGCCCAGCGCGGTGGTGGCGATGGCGGCGACGGGCGACGGATCGGCCCTGGCCGTGGGCCGGGAGGGCGGTGCCATCGAGGTCTGGGACGCGGAGGCGCATCGGTGGAACTGCTGCCTGGTGAGGTTTGTTGCGCTTTGTGGGGAGATTTGGTGCTGCCTGCTGAGATTGGTTGAACTGCGTTGCATTTTGCGGAAAGATTTACGTTTTTTGGTTGCACTGCGTGGTGAGATTTGTTGCTCTTTTCTGTAAGATTTGTTGCTGCCCTGGTTAGATTGAATGCACTGTGTGGTGCACTTCGTTGCACTTCGGAGGAACGCAGGTCAGGCAATGGGCAGGGCCTCCTAAGCAATTGCCTGGTAAGATTTGTTGCAGTTCAGGAGAAATCAGGTCAGCCAAAAGGGGCGGCATCCTGAGCGATTGCCTTGTAAAATTTGTTGCATCTCAGGAAACAACGTGCCAAGCAAAAGGGCGCTGCCTCCTAAACAATTGCCTTGTCAGATTTGTGGCAGTGTTGGAGAAAACATGTAAAGCACAGGGTGTGGCCTTCAAGTAATTGCCTTTTAGGATTATTGCATCTCAAAAGTTGTCAACCGAAGGGCACTGCCTGCTAAGCAATTGCACCTAAAGAGAAAGAAGGTCAGGCAAAGGGTGCAGCAGTGGAGTTGGGGCCTGCTGAGATTTATCGCAATTCAGGGAAACAGGTCGGGCAAAGGGCACGGGTCCCAAAACGAATGTGTGGGAGGCTCACACATTTTTCCATTGTTTGATGGAGCCCGTGAAATATGGCTTTGAGGTGGCAGGCAGGGTGTGGGTTCCAAGTTCCTTTGTTGAAAGTTGCCTTTGAAAGACGGAGCGGGGCTCATGCAGCTCGTGGGCAATGATGGGCACTAATACATCAGAAAACGTCATACACGAAAACAGCCAATCAATTCTATTCATGGTTCATTGGTGCCCATGCATCCACAAGCTTCACCATTGGAAGAGGCCCACCGGGTTGCCTGTGTGGCACAATAAAAGATGGTGCCATGCTTTCTGTGCCGTGATTCAATTGGATATCTGTGTGGAGGTTGAATTGTGTCATGATTCTGCTAGAGTTCCGTTGAATCGAATAGAATCAAGAATGGAGCTGTGAAGATTCTCAGGCATCTCATGCATTGGAATACCTAACCCCACTTGTGCTGTGGGGCCGTTGCCATGGCAGTGGCCAACTGCAATACAAATGCATGGGAATCGAGCATCCGCCTGTCGGGCATGCCCAACAGCAGACTTATTTGTTTCCTTCTGCTTTTATGATTCTTATGTTATTACTTTTTTATTTTTCCTTTTCTCCTGCCTCAGAAAGGATGTTTTGGAGACTGTGCAGCTGTTCATTGTTGATAAGCACAGTTAAGTTCCTTTGCTCATATTTGAACAAAAATGCAGTGGGCTTCACTGGGCTTCTTGCTTAAATTTGCCCTGGAAAGACAAAGCGTGCGCCTTGCCCTTGCACCTTGTAGGGTATGATGGGCTTTAGACAACCAGAAACATATTGCTGTCAACAGCCCATTCCTTTTATCCCCTCACCACCCATCTGCAATCCACTCAGACGATGTTCATGTGAACAGCCAGGAGCCAATTCTAGAGACGTTGTTCAGGTCTGTTTCTCCATTCACATCGCATGGTCTCCAAGAGACTTGTGGCAATGAATGGAATGCATCCACTGCCACAGAACACAAAACTCATCAGGGTATTGCTGCCTAGTTATGCTATTGACTGTCTTGATGCTTCAGGTGATACCTGGGAGGGACGAAGCCAGTCTGTCGTCCCTGGTGTGGGTGCGCGACTCATCGGACGGCTCCTGGCGGTTGTTTTCCTCGGGGCTGGATGGAAACTTGTGCGAATGGGACCTCGTGAATCGGCAGCCCAGCCATACGATGGACTCCTACGGGGGGGCCATCTGGGCTCTGGCTGTGGCGCCTGAGGCCCCAGATGACGAAGGTGATGACTGCATTGGCATGACGTTGGCCACTACTTAGTAGTTAGCAGTGGTAGTGCTTGGTGATGGCAGGTTGGTTGGTACTTGGTAGGTTGGCACCAACTTGGTTGTTGGTACTTTTAGTTGGCATATGTGGGCTCTCATGGGGGGCCTGAGGGCCCAGAAGGCAATGGTCAATGCACCCATTCTTTCGCTTGCCATTTTGTTCGGTGTTTTGCGCTGTGTTGAATTGCTGACATTACTATCATTGTGTACTCAAGAAGAAACGTACAAAAGTGTATGATATGTGTGTAGTTGTGCAGTACAGGTTTCTAACCGACACATGCCCTTGCGTCAACCTCAGTTTCAGCACTAATAGTGCTATACACCAAGATTAAGCAATGTGTGAAATCGCCGCAGTGCAGATTCCCATGGCATGCCAATGTTTCCAGTGATGTTACAGAATCACAGATCCTCGGCATTGCAGGGAGCAGCATGAGATCCAAGTGTTATCGTTTCAAAAGAAAACAGTTCTTTTAGGCTTGCATCCTGCTTCAATTTCCAGTTCCATCTTCAGCTTGGATCAGTTTTGAATCAATTGAAAGTGGACAGTAGTGGCGAAGTAAATGCAAAGATGGAATGCAAGAAAGGAACCAAATTTCGAAATGGAAATCATTAATGAATTAGATTGCAGTCTTTCATTTCATGCTGCTGATGCCAGGCGGGGAGAGTCACCTTGCACTCGCCTGTGATAGCGGTAGCGTTCAGATCTTCTGCGTGGAGTCTGGGAGTGGTGGTGCCTACCTGAAGCGAACCTGCACTGGCGGCAGCGGGCGGGCGCTGTGCGTGTGCTGGCACCCAGAAGGGCACAGCATAGTGGCAGGCCACTCGGGTGGCACAGTGCATGTCTGGGACTGGAAGACAGGTGCGGTAGCCAGAGTGCGTGTCGAAGTACTGAGAGTGTGGATGTGCACATGTGGTATGTGCTGAGCCTCACTACAAACTGCCTATTGTATAGAGCTTGCATGTGCTAAGCACTGAGCCTTGTCCCTACTTGGGACAAGAGTGCTTTTGTGTGAGCACCAAGGGAGTGAATGCACTGATTGTGTTGTTTCCAATTCTTTATTGTTGATCACCATTTTGTTATGTCATACTGTTTGGATGGTGTGTTGTGCTGATTCTGCAGCTCTCTCATGTGGAAAGCAATGGTGGCCTTGTGCAAATTAACTTGTTTCATTTGCATGCCAAGTAAGAAACACCATGTTCTTATTTTTCATTTCTTTTCTTTGGGCAAAAGAGCATCTGTGCTTTTGTTGGCCTCTTCTCCTGGTTTGATTCCAAAATAGGAGGCAATGTGCTGACTTTGCATGATTCGATTCTGGGAACTTGCGCCGATTTCACCATTGGCTTCTGCACTGCATCCTGGTGTCGCCGTGCTCTTGCTCGCCAACATCATCTATCTGTCTTAAGGGCTCTTGCTCTCCCGTGTGGCAGATGCAATCAGAATCCTGTTGTTCATGATCCAGAGCATGCTGACTTACCCAACTTGTTGTTCCTGTTCAAGAGCACGCTCTGTAACCATGTTAACAGATCAGGCAAAGATCTGTTCCTGACGTTCCTGTTCCTGTGCTGTTCATGTTGTGCTCTTGATGTTCCTGTCATGTGTCGGGAGAGCGAGACAGCCCACTGAATTGTGCCCCTGCTTCTTGGTCAAGGGAGGGAGACGCTGTGCCTGAGGTGCGGACCTGGCCCAAGGGGCACCAAGCTCGCTGTGTGGAGCGTTCTTGCATTGCCTGGCCACACCCTTGTCACCGGCGACAGCTCTGGGCGGGTTGTGTTCTGGGATGGGAGGTTCGGCACACAGGTGTGTTGATCATCGTTTTCACAACATTTCGCACATTCTAAAGCAAAGGCCCTTGGCACCAAGCTTGCGATGTTGTGCAATGGTCCCAAGCACACATGTTTGTCCCCACAATGTTTGTTCAATTGTGCATCCAGTCAGCCCACAGTGCCATCGGCCAGCCTAAGCCAACGAGAAAGAGCAAAGAAAGATCCCAAGTTCGAATGCATACAACTGTCATGCAGGTCAAGAGCTTTAAGATCCACGAGGCCGACGTGATGGCGATGGCAGGATCGGCTGACGGGAGGAGTGTGTTCGCCTCGGGCGCCGACGTGCAGATCGCGTTGTTTCGACAGATGGACCAGAGACAGGGTGCGTGTGGCGGGGACCTTGGGATGGGCACCAGACTGGGGGGTTCAGGGTCAGCACAATGCAGTACAGTATGGTGCAGGGCTGTACTTGCTGTGTGGTGCAGTGTAGTGCTTTGCAGTATAGTGTGGTGCAGTGCAGGGCAGCATGGTGCAGCTCAGGGCATTGCAGCACAGTGCAGTGCCGTGCAGTGGAGCATGGCGCAGTGTGGTGCAGTGGGGAGATGGCCTGCTGGGTGCACTGGGTTGGATGCCGAGTTGCCAGAACCACCGTCTGTAGTACTGCAGACTTACTGCACTACAATACTACTACAGTACTACAGTACAGAATGACAGTATTGAACCCTTTTGGAGCTGTCGGGGATGATGTTGGGGGATATTAGAAACACGGTGTCATCTTGGCATTGACTAGGGACGGCAAAGAGCAGCTGGATCGCTATCGGCTATTGTACTTGCCATCGATTGCAATGGAATGCAGGACACCCATTTTTCCCAGGATTTAGGGGATTTCTTCTTTTGAAATTTGTTTCAACTTATGGTGCTTAAGGCCCATGAGTTGTAGAAAGGAGAAAAATTGTTCCCACATTTGTTTTAGTTGCTCCTACGCTGTTGTATGGATGGGGGTTGCTCACTGTGAATTTCACACCAGCCACAGACTTCTGAACCGATATCAGCCATGGCAGGTGGATGGACTTTCATAGAGTCTCGCAGACCCCACAGCCACGATGTCCGCTCGCTGATCACCACGGGCGGGGGAGACACAAAGTTCGAGGAGAGGCTCGTGAGCGGATCACAGGATGCCAGAGTACTGCAGATCGCAGTGACGCGTTTCAACAAGGTGACAGCACTCGCTTTCTGGAAGAAAGTAATGTCTTAGAGTTGGTAGCATTCATTTGTTGTCTTTTTTGTTGTTTGTCCATTTTTTAACCGCTCGTGTTTGTTTTCTTCTGCATCCTGTTTGTGTACTTTTATTTCCACTGTTCATTCCATCCGTGTATTTTGGACCAGGCCAATCCCACTGCGTTGACTGTGGCACCCGAGGCACCGATCATCTGTACAGCGGCCCAGGGCAAGGGTGATGACCAAGTCAACCTCATGCTCACGGCGAGCGGGAGGCAACTGGACCTCTGGCGACTCGCGAGGCCCGTGCGGCTGGTGGGAGCGAACGCCATGTCGCTGAATTGTTTTGGACTGGGATTCCACACATTTCGCTTCTAATATATGTCAGTATACTTTCAGCATGCATGTTGCGTGCATTTTAATATGACATAGCATGCAAGTAACACACATCGTAGTATATATGTAAACATGCCTGTAAAATGCATGTAGCATGTACTTAAACATAAAAATAGCATACGCTCAGCAAGACATAGAGTCAGGTTATGCTTGTGCCATTGACTTGTCAACCTATCAAACAGCACGACTAATAGGGGTGCAAAGGAGTTCGGTGTCCTGAATTGCTACCCTGAAAATTGATGCTGAAAGTGTGGGCACAAAGGCAGGCTCTGAGGCTCCAGAACAAGCAATTGTTGGCAACGAGCATTCCCTGCATTTTTCATTGAACAACGCCTTAGCCGCATTGCTACCACTCCAATTAACCACATCTTCACCATTTAATTGTAACCCATCAAAGTCCATAGATTGCATCTGCCATACAATGCGAAACACAGGCCATGCACCTGGTGGGCGATGATGGGCATGAAAGCCAATCAGGTCTTTTGTTTGGAATCCACTGTGCAATTGAATGGAAGGAAGGAATGAGCATCCTCAAAGGCAACGCGAAAATTCAACACACTGGTCTTGTCACATGTCTCCGCAGAACTCGGATAGTCAAACACCATTCCTAGCAGTCCATTATAAGCTATTCTAAGCTATTATAGTCTATTATAAGCTATTTAGCAGACTGCCCCTACTCACCCAATGCTTGAATTCCATCCCAGGCCAGTGCTTATGCTGCTGGGAGGGCGACGTCGTCGACATGGCCAGTGTGCAAAGTCAGACTAGGAAACTCACAACAAAGCAAGTTCAAACTTAAGGAATTTGGAATTTATTTGGAATTTAAACTCCATGGTTTAAGACAAGAAATATAGCAGTGAGTATAACGAGGTGTGTTAAGGAATATGACAAGGAATATAGCAATCCCTCCCTCATGCAAATCTCCAATTCTGTGCCAGGGCAAGCGCTGGCGCTGCTCGGAGGGCGATGCCGTCGACGTGGCAGCTGTGCCGGCCCACCTGGCTCGCATTGATGCTGCCGGGCCATGGCACATTGCCTGCGCAGCCCTCGCCCCTGATGGGCGCCTTCTGGCCATCTCGGATTGCAAGAGGACACGAGTGATGCAGATTGATGGGGATTGCGGATGGGATCAAGGCATGGGGGAAGGAGGATCGAAGGTGGTGGTGAAGCGGTGCAGGGTGGAAGGGAAGCTGCCATCTGCCGACCGGGTGGTGTTTGTGCCAGGCTCAGAGTGAGTTTGGGTTGGTTAACCTGTGATGGTGTTGTGGTGATGATGTCTGTTTTTCCACTGAGCAGTAATAGAGTGTGGAATATGTGGTGATGTACTGGACTGTGGGAAAGCGGTCGGCTGGTGGCCGTGGCACTAGTAGTTGCGTAGTTGCTCCTTGTACCTAAGTCCCGGACCTTGACTGGCTGCTGCTAGTTCCGGAATGGAAGTGAGTAACTCATTGCACCAAACTCTGGCAAAGTATTGGGCGAATGTGAGTTGACCGCTGAAATACTGAACTAATTGCGCTGGCAGACATGCAGCAACACTATTAGTAGTAAGGCTGCTTGCAATACCACAGTACTAGATCTGGTGTTGTTCACACCCAACTCAAAGTGAGTCAAGGCCTGCAACGTCAGAATTTGGCCGAAGCAATGGACCTAATACAAGATAAGTGCTAAAATCTGTATTAATGCTTCAAGTTGGTAATAAGGTACTGGGCAAGTACTGTGCCTCTGTTTGCATTGCTAGAGTACTGGGGCAGGGGCATTTTTGCACAAGAGGGTGATCACTCAGAGGTTTATACGCTTTTGCAATATGATCAGCACAGTTTGCTTCTGTTGTACTTCACAGACGCATTGAGCGATATCAATTGACTTTGGTACGCGTAAGCACAATTGAAAAGAATGAAGCAATAGAATTCGCTTTCTGTTTCCGATTCTGACCAGTACTTAGTTCTGTGGACACTGTTCACTAGACAGCAATTTTTCATGGCATGGTAGCTCGTGCTCGACCTTGTTGTTGAAATTTGATGGGCTGCCTTTGTTGCAGATTTATTTCGGCTGTGCATTGTGACAGGGCCACACAGAACCGTGGTCTTCCATCACCCAACGGACTCCCTCCCAACTTGCAAAATAATGTTCCAAAGAGAGCTAGAAATCTCACAGCCTCTTCCTCAGCGTGTGCTTTATGTGTTCACAAATAAAAATATATTAAAATATACTAAAACTAAATCACCACACAGCAGATATCTCATGAAGAGGGAATGAAAGTGTTTTGAGGTGTTAACACCTGCCATTGCCTGCAAGGTGCAAGCGCCTCACTTTGCCTTTCTGACTCAGCTTCAAACAAAGGGTGCATTCACAGAGACCACCAAACCTCGTAGTGCCACGGAATGTCTTTCACAGGAGTCATACTCAAGCAAGGGAACTCAGCAGATGCCGCAAACCTAAATAATGCCACAGAATGTATCTCGCTGAAGTCACATGCAGACAAGGAGTTCACATATCACAAATTTTAGTAATGTTATAGAATATGACTCGTTGAAGTCACATTCAAACAAGGAGTTCACATTTTGGAAACCTGCCTAATGCCACAGAAAATCGCTCACTGCATGTCGTGCATCCCACAGCCTGGTGGCCATCGCCACGAGGACCGGCAGCGTCCTGTTGGTTGACCTGGATGAGGGCGCGGTTGTGGGCACGATGGCACTACAGGAGGCCCCAAGGCCCAAGATCAGCATGCCGCTGGCCTCAAGGACCATACCGAGAGGTGTGCAGGCTTTCAAGGCATCACCGAATGGGCGCTGGATAGCCGCCGCCATCGGCCTAAGGGTTCAGGTGACCACACTCTCTGGAAGGACTGCAATATAGTGCAATGAGCTGAGTAAAATTGATGGAATAGAGTAAGAGAGTGCAAATTGTGTTAGTGCGCATGCTGCCTGTGGATCTCGATGAAGGACTACAACATAATGCACTGAGCTGAGTTAAATTGATGGAAAGAATGAAACAATGCAAATTGTATTCATGCGCAATGCTGCTTGTTCGTTTGAATGGAGTACTAGAAGCTGCACCACGACCGTTGTATTGCTCTGCAATGCACACATTGATGCTGCCTCCATGCCCGCTCACAAGATGTCAGACCATTGCCTAAAACGTTCGACATTGACGTTTGGATTTGGTCAGTGTCTTCTGCCATATCTCCAAAACTCTCCAACGACTTCCTGCTCCCTTTTGTATGCGAATACCTCTTTGACAACTTCCCGTCTCCTTCTGTGCATGAATAAAGTTGTTCAACCTCGACTCCCGTAAGCACCACGGCGTGCTGCCGCCCCTCTCCGACTCTGTCCCCATCGCCGCCCTCTGTTTCTCGAACTGCTCCAAGCATTGCATCGTGGCCAACGCCCGCAACCGAGTGGGGATTTATGATGTCTGTACTTTGACACCCTCGTCGTGGATGTTGAGTCATGGGGGAGCACTACCAAAGTGGCTGCTCAACATGCCGGGGCAGGCTATGGATCTTTCATGCCATCCAGGCCGTGAGGTGGGTGCAAATTGCTGAAGTAGGTGAAACAAGACTGAGTACAGTGTTGTACAGTGGTAGAATGAAATGCATGCATTGCAATCTATTACTGTACAATACTGTATTCACTCTTGTTGCTGCGCAGTAACATTGCTCCATGTTGTGAAACTTAACAAAAAACTGTAATGTGAATGTGAATAATATATTTCTATTCCATCATGCTATTGCAAGGAACGTTCACAGCAACACAACAATGTCACAGTAATTCTGCAGTACTGGGGCATTCTTTCATAACATTCTATGTCGCGAATGCATTGGGAATGTGCTTGATGCCAGCGTGGTGGTGGGTAGCCGTTTAAAACAATCGCATTTATTGTCCCAAGGGGGGTGTTCATCATGTGCCAGGTCAGGCCATGGGTCAGCCCATGCGGGTGTGCATTTCACAGCTTTTGAGCTGTGAGATGGTTGACATTTGCTGCTTGGAAACATGTCATACAATGGCACCCGCTCAAAGCTATCAGGTGGGTGACAATGGTGGCCTGCCACTTATGCAGCAGTAACCACCAAGGACACCACAATGTCTGTGGCAACAGATTGGGGGAGCAATTCAATACCGTGTGGTTTGGAATGATAGTGACCATGTGAAATATAGGCTAGACCAAGACTAAAAGATCCGGGATTCAATGATGCCTTCCATTAGAGGACATTTTTTTAATATCAAAAGTCAGCGGTTCAGTCAGAAGTCATAATTGGAATAACATGGAGATTTCTATGTTTGTTCTGCAACATCGAGCAACAAAAGTTTGAATTGTACGTTGCCTGACGCATCGCAGGCCCGTGACGTCGTGCTGCACACGCCCAAGGCCTTTTGCCACATCGACTTCTCGCGGCCACCAGCCATCCCCGACGGCCCCCCGCCGCGGGCCCCCGGCCCCGCCGCGCCTGCCGGCTCCCGCGCCGGTGAGAACTGTCGAGTCATCACGCTGGCCAACCCGTGCCTGCACTGGTCGTTCCTGTCGCCGGACAGCGCAGTGCTGGTGGAGGTGCCCTGGGCTGATGTCGCACGCGGCTTCCTGCCACCTGTGTATCGACACAGGTGCGAACGGCACATTGGGTGCCGGAGCTTCTGTCATTTTTAGAGTTTTTTAGAGTTTTTATCTTTTTAGAGTTTCTTCGGTTGTTTTTTAGTTGTTTTCCTCGGTTCCTTCTTCAGCTATTTCGTTGGTTGTTTCGTCGGTTGTTTATTCAGTTCTCTCTTTAGTTCTTTCTTCGTCCCTTTCCTCAGATCTTTCTTCACGTCTTCCATCAGTACTTGAACAGTCCTGCAGGGGGGTCGTTGTCTGGATGTGCCGATCGATCGCCCAGCAGCGGGCTATTTTATGATTCCAAAATATTACGTCACATTTCAGTGTCCAAGCACCTCCCCCGTCCTCAAAGAAAGACGTGGGGGCCTTGCGCCACCTAGCAAAAGAGTGCGAGGCGATGCAAACGCCCTCAGAGCTGTTCGAATGCTCAACCTCAGAAAAGAAAAGTTGCGAACACCTGGGGTTAATCTGGCAGATCAGCAATCAAACTAAATCGAAATTGTCTTTCCTTGTTCTTATGAGCGAACCGAGAAAATAGTGCTCATGGCTATATATCCAGCAATGGGTTTTCATGGCCGGCATTCATTCAGCCGACGTCACAAGTAGACTTCCCAGACTTCACTCTCCTGGCCCAGCATTAACTCAGCGGGCTGAATGAATTCTGGCCATGGACCGTCAAGTCTTGGGAGGTTATTCCTGTGGGCCAGGCTGAATGAATGCTGGGCCAGGAGAGCAAAGCCTGGGAAGGTTTGCATGTCTCGTGCTTGTTGAAATGCGAATTGGCGGTAATGATCACTGGTAGAAAACAGCATGTTTTCTATGCCAGCCGCGATGGCATTTTGTCACAAAATGATGCCGTCACAGTGACTGGGATGGCATAAAAATGGCTGCGACGGCATCGAATTTTAATTATGAATCATCATTTAATTATTAATCACCATTTTTTCATTTAATTATTTAAAATTGTGTCAAATGGAGTCGCAGCTGGCATCGCAAACAGACTGCTTTCCACTGGTGGACTGGCGTTGCCGGATTGCCGGTTGTGGTCGACAGTGAGCGTCAAGTAGTGAACATTGGGTGATTGTTGCCGCTGCTGCGAAATGGTAATGTTTTGAATGTGGAACATTATCCCGGAAGTGCGGACCCAATTGCGACCCTAGGCCGCCCAGCTGGTGTCCATTGCCAGAATGCACATGAGCGCTCTAAACAACGGATAGATTTAAATTACCAGCGTAGACATGATGACCACAACAATATGATTAAGAACATTATTAAACTTGCGCGAATTTATGTGCATAATTAATGGCATTAGGCGATTTTCGTGCAAGAGTGGAGGCCAACAGAAACTGTAGAGTACTCTCACTGCGTTTGATGCCCTCGTGCCCTAGTTTTGAACAAGTTGAGGCAAGGGCGCAGGCCGCAATATACACTTTGCAAATGTGAATGGTTGAACTGGTTGACATTTCCGTCTCTTTGTCCGCCTTTTCCTTATCGTATTTGCAATCGCAGGTATGGAGCGTGAGGGGCAGGACGCGCATGGGATATGGGGAGGCTCTCAACGTCTGGCTGAACGTTCCTGAATACATTCAAATCTTCAGATTGAAATTTGAACACCCATCTTGCCGGCGGCAAAGCGTCGCCGTTGCCCGCCCAACGCAACGGCGGCCGCTGGAGTGAAGCGAGGAGCGCGTCTGGAGGCCACGTCAGGCGGCGTTTGCGGGGGACACCACCAGCAGAACATTGCCCCTAAACCCGGCTAAGGATGCGTGATTTTGAGCAATTCGATGGTGTCGAATGCGCACAACACCTGTGCAAAATGGGATTTCTTCAAAAGGGGTGTTCTTGTTAAAATGGAGATTGGCCAGTGCGTGCCAGGCGTTGAGTGCTTCAGAAATTGTTCAAGTACTGGCGAACTTGCTGGCAGCGCGATCCTTGCCTATCGCTTCAGCGCCCTGCCAGCGTGGCATGCATTCTTCAATGACATCTATCCAGCAATGACAAAGGGCAAAAGGAACGAAGGCAAAGGAGAAAGGGGAAAGCTTGCAGGCATATCAGCGGTGGAGTCCCAACATCGCCTCTAAGGTGCAAGGGCAGTGTTTTGTCATGTTTTTATGACAAATGTTATCAAAGGCTTTGAGCAGCGGTGGGGATTATTGAGGGCCACAGCGGCGGACGGCGCGGGGTGATCGAGCCGCTTGTGGGGTTGGGTGGGGCAGCAGCAGCAGTATAATAGTTTTCTTTAGTTTACTGGTAGGTTAGTTTAGGATAGATTGGAAGAGTCTTCGCCAAGGGCGACCAGGTCGCACGCGATTCCTGGTGAATGGCAGTTGATGATGTATGACAAGCGTAATATGAAAGGCAGTTGATCAGTGCCTTCTGCTGCCCTTGGTAGTTTAGCTCGGCAGCGTTCATCACACGAGAAAACTAAAGCCAACATTTTGTATTACAAAGTGTGTGCATTAAATGCGTTGGTGTCGGGCAAGCAGGTGTCCATCATCAGGAGCGTATAATCAGATAGATCCACTCGGCACGTTCCTCAATGATGAGCAGTTGTTATTTCATTGCAAATTTGTTCAGGAACAAAGCGATGAACCATTCAGCTCTGTGAGCTTTCCTCGCAGTCCTAAATCAATTCTGAACTTTTGGCAGAGGGGCTTCAAAGAGGCACGAATAAACTACTAACAGGCATTGCAGATTTTTTCAAGGCTGTGCGATGGTACGAACAATCAAGTTGCTTGCTAAACTTGTGGATGGCGGCTCGTTGTTTGAGATATTTTGATGAGGCTCATTAGAGACATCATCAAGCTCTCAATATCAAAGTGGAACTTGGTGATGTACCGGGCTGGCATCTGCGTACCATTTTTTGGGGCCTATGGCTCTGGTGCTAGAGAATTTTGAGAGGCAAAGCAGTTCTATCAACAAGCGTTGGACTGCAGAGGTGAAATAGGTGATCACCTTGAGAGCATTGAAGGATTGTGAGGAAGACTATCACGTTGCAAGCAAAGCTACTGGCATTCAGAAGGAGTCTATATTGACAAGTTGGCAAAAGATATTCATAGAAACGCAGCTGGCGGACGCGGGTGGCTGGGCTTGTATCTTGCATCCATAAATGTGCTTTTGTGCACACATTTGAAAATCTCGAGCTCAGATCAAGGGGATGCCTTTGGCTAACCACCTTCCATCCCGCGCCGGATGCGAGCCACCAGGAACTTCCAAGCGGGGTCCCACCTTCCCCGGGGCGACGTCCTTCCCCCGCATCCACAGTACTTTAACAGCACGCCAACCCGCAAGCGACACCTGTCGCTGCGTGCTGCGCTGCCTACCTGTTCCTCGCCAACCCCGTGCGTCTCCAGCGGGCGAGTGACGACGAGAGGGTGCCAACGCGTCTGCGACCGTCAGCGCCTGTTTGAAGGAAACGAGGCCGCGGGGAAGAGGGGAGAAAGTGCTGAGCTGGGCCGATGTTGCGACGATGGGTTGATGTCTGAGCGACAAACCTGTTGTCGAGTCCCCTGAAGGGATCGGGGTGGCTGACGAGGCCGCGCCTTAGGTCTGTTGTGCAAACATGGCGGCTGTCGAGGATGCAACAGATCGGAGGTGCGCGGACATACGCGGAGATTTTCTGGGCCCCCGACGACACCCTCGAGCGCTGCGGTGGTGCGCGAATTGACCACTGCTTTGATTGTGAGCAAAAAGATATCGGGATGGCTTGGGACACCGCTTGTTAGGTCTGTTGCGGAAGCGTGGTGGCTGTCCAAGATGTGGCGATCGACGTTGGGCGGATACACGCAGTGAATTTTGAAGCGACCACGACGATCACATCGACGGTTGCGACAGTTCATCAACTGGGCACTGGTTTTTGATTTTGAAGAATAAGGGATCGAGGTGTCTGGCGAGGCCGCGCCTTAGGTCTGTTGTGCCAACATGGCAGCTGTCGAGGATGCGGCGGATGGCAGGTGATCGGGTGTGCGCGAGTATGGAGCGCCTGCCACGGTCACTTGGACGCTGCGACAGTGCGTGAAGTGAAAGAACGCCGAGCTGAAGCTGGGCATTCATTGATCGCTGTGCCTGCAGATTTGCGGATGGGCGAAAAATCACCATCGCCGAAGACTGGGCGTGGGAGACCGGCTTCGCTGTCAAGTTGAGTTTCAATGGGGGCCCGCCGTTCGACGCCAGGCTCGAAAATCCCTTCCGGGAGAAGCAGGAGCGCGAGCTGGAGTGGTACTTCGAAAAGTGGCAGAGATCTCCATTCACCGGCTCCGCGACGGCAGAGAGGGTCGCCGGCAGCATCCAGGAGTATGGCGCGCGGCTGTTCGAGCAGATATTCGTCGACAAAAAGGCTGTCAAGAAGTACTCGCGCTGGAAAAGAGATCTGGGCCGTGTGGAGATCGAGGTTGTGAGCCGGACTCCAGGCTTCCAGGCCATCCACTGGGAAGCCTTGTGGGACCCAACCATGGACCTGCCTCTGGCGGTGGAGTGCTCAGTGGTGCGCAAGTCCCAGGAACACACCACACTGCAACTTCAAGTCAAGCCCTCTTCTGTGCTCAACATTTTGCTGGTGGTGGCACGGCCTGATGTCGAGCAGGACGTTGAATACCGGACAATTTCGAGGCCGCTGGTCGAGGCAATGGCAGCAGGAAAGCTGAGGGTGAACGTGGAGCTGCTGCGGCCCGGCACATATGAAGCGCTTGCAAAGAAGCTGAAGGCCCGAGGCAAGGGGTACTACCACACGGTGCACTTCGATTGCCACGGGTCCCTGCTGGAGTACGAGAGGGCAAGGGAAGCAGTGAATTACCATACGGACGCACGATATGGCAGAAAAAGGTTGAGGAGCTACGGAGGCACAAAGGCATTTCTGAAGTTGGAACGTGATGCTGATGGTGGGGTGGATCTGGTTGAGGCAGCTGAGCTTGCCAAGCTGCTGGTCCGTCACCATGTCCCCATCTGCATGCTGAATGCATGTCAGTCAGGCAAGCAGCTATGGCAACAAGATGGGAGTGATGAGGAACAGGGCAGGGACCCTGCCACCATCGACACCAGTCTAGGGAGCATCCTGGCAGCTGCTGGACTACAGTTAGTGGTGGCCATGGGGTACACAGTTACGGTATCAGCTGCTCAAATCCTGATGAAGGCCATGTACAGCCACCTGTTCGATCAGCAGCCAGTGATGGAGGCCCTGCGGTTGGGTCGCCTGCAGCTGTATCGTTGCAAGAGGCGAATGGGTGCCCTTGGTGTTGAGATTAATCTGGAGGACTGGGTGTTGCCCATCGCCTATGCCAATGGCACTGTGGACCTGCTGCTGCAGGATTTTCAGAGCTCCAAGAAGCGACAAGTGCACTCTGGTCAGCCACAAAGCCAGGACTGGTTTGTGGAGCCCACATATGGCTTTGTTGGGAGGGACTTAGAGATCATGATGATTGAGAAGATGCTGCTACGACACAATGTGCTTTTGTTGCAGGGAATGGGTGGCACAGGCAAAACCACTCTGGTCACCTACCTCTGTGATTGGTGGCAGATGACACAGTTTGTGCAGAAAGTGTTCTACTTTGGCTATGATCAACGAGCATGGACCTTGCAACAGATACTGCTGGGGATTGCTCGGCAGGTTTATGGCAAGCAGGATGAGCGCAGGTTTCTGGTCAAGGACCATGCAGTGCAAATGGCAGAGCTGGCAGTAAAGCTCCAAGGTGAAAATCACCTGTTGGTTCTGGACAACCTGGAGTCAGTGATGGCCCGAGAGCTTGCCATACAAAACAAACTGCCCGATGTGGAGAAAACGAGCATCCAGAAGTTTCTGATGCATTTGGTTCAGGGACAGACAAAGGTGATTCTGGGCTCTCGGGGGGGTGAAGAATGGCTGAACGAAGCATTTCAAGAGAATGTGTACTATCTGCAGGGATTGGACCCCCAGTCGCGCACTGTACTGGCACAAAGGATACTGCAGAGAACCGTGTGCAAGAAGTCCTGCATCAGGAACATACTGCAGGATGAGAATTATGGCCGTTTGATGAAGTTGCTTTCTGGATACCCCTTGGCCATGGAGGTGGTGCTGCCCAACTTGAATCAGCATTCTGCTGGGGAGATTCTCACAGGGCTGGAAGGGGCCAACATTCAATTCGATATGCCCTCTGAGGACAAGACAAAGAGTATTGTCAGTTGTGTCGAGTATTCATACCAGGTCATGCCAACCAAAACACAGCAGCTGTTGGTGTGCCTGGCGCCCTTCAAATCCACATTGCTTCAGAGCACACTGTACAGTTTCCTGGGGGAGTTGCAAAAGAGAAAGGCATTCAAGGGCTTTGACCGTGTGGCTCTTGATGGTGCTGTGCTAGATGCAGCCAGCTGGGGCCTCCTGTCGATCACTTCTGGCGATTGTGCTGTCAGCAACATGACCATCCTGAAACTGCAACCAGTGTTCCCTTATTTCCTGAGTATGAAGTTGAGCGTTCTGTCTTCAGCTCAACGTGCAGCAATGCTCACAGCCTTCAAGAAGACATACCAAGATCTGTCAGGTGCACTGTTGGA